AATGCAGATAGCAGGGGCGACGGAACTTCACTACTGATGGTTTTCCAATCGATGTTCTCCTTTCCGCGTCCCTCGCAGAGCGGACGAAACATGCGCAGCCATAATCCGTGGCACTGCCAGTGTTCTTAGAAACTGCTGCTTGAATAATGGCATCGTGATTCGTGGTCGTCCTCAGAAGAAACGTTTGGGAGTCGATTCAACAGGCTCGTGCTGATTCATTTTACTCTTACTTAGTCTTTGGAAAGGAGACGAACTCTATGTCTCTAAAGTCTAATGAGCAAACGGTTCTTTTACAGAGCCCGCGGTGAGATCTGCGCGCGGTAACGGTCACTAGCACTGTGAGGTTCAAACTAACTTACTTGGCGCATAGCTGTTACTTCCGATGTAACTAGTAGTAGTACTTCAGTACTAAACTGAAGTCACAAAGAGTGTGTGATGGTACTGCACTAGCACTGCATGCACTGCACAGAGTCAGTGGTAGTCTTGTACTTGATCCGCACAGGTTGGTGAAAGGAAGACTCGTCGAGCCATGGTTGTGGGTTGGAATTCCAATCTCTACCCTTGTGGGGGAGAGGGGAGTTTGTATATCAGCTCAGTATAAGCATAATATAACCTACTCAGTTGATTATATGGGAAATATAAACCAATATACAAACCTCGGCTTCGCCTCGGTTTGTATACAGGTTTATATTTCCCATATAATCAACTGATTAGGTTATATTATATACATATTCACCACTTTAACTTGGGGTATATACTTTGCTATATTACCCACTTAGAGGTTGTAACTTTTCAACTTTCAAGGGACTTAGAAATTTTCTCTCCAATTGAAAAAGAAAAAAATTGAAGAGAAGAAAGAAGTTTCAGCAGGAATCGAACCTGCAACCATAACATTCCCAAGCACCTATCTTGACCACCCAGCCACCAGGGTGTTGATGCAGATGTAATAATAGTATACTATTGTATACTGGGATACTAAAATAGCTATTTCGGACCAGTATTTCAGGCCAAAACCGAAGCTAGGTATAAATAGAATAAACACCTCTGTCTTGTGTTTATGGGAATATAAACACTTTCTATAAAAACCTCGGCTACGCTTCGGTTTTTATAGCAGTATTTATATTCCCTTAGTATTTGACCCCACTAATTTCCCTGATACCTAAGCGGTCAAATATATCGCGTATTTGACTAAGGGGCTATCCGGCATTATCGATAATTTTCACGAAACGAAAAAGTTTAGTTAGGACCCTCCCCCACCCACCCACCCCCCTGAACGAAATATAGATTGACCTGATAGCAAGAATGCGGGGATGTCTCTCATATCAATATTTTTCAAAACGAAACTCCCCTTGACCCACCCACCCATATACGAAACTTTTTCTCTTCGTGTAAAAGATCGATAATTATGGACGGCCCCTAAGCAGTCAAATACGCGATATATTTGACTACTTATATTTGACTCCTTAGAACTTCTTGGACTTAGAAATTTTCTCTCCAACTTAGAAAAAGAAATTTTTGAAGAAAGCAGAAATACACAAGATGGGATTTGAACCCACAACCTTGTGAATCTCAGTCACTCTTCCTTACCACCCAGCCACTGTGCTACCGATGCTGAACCTAGTTTAAACAATGATCTTGACTTTCAATGCAGTACAATGCGGTATAGGCTATAGTATAATACTAGAATTACAAGGATATGTCGTATATGAAGAGAAACTATTGCGTGGAGAACACGATAAATAGATTATAGACCTCATAGTTGGTCTATACAGGATATATAGACCTCGTAAAAGACCTCGGGGGACCTCAGTCTTTTACTCGGTCTATATATCCCATATAGACCTCGTCTTGGCCAATATCCTATACATATTTGACCGCTTAGAGATCACAAGTTTCTGTGGGGGTCAATAATAAGAGAGTGATAAAACACTGTAAAATATGTGAACTGTGCAACCTAACCCAGTTGCATATGAATCATAGTGTGGGTTAGGAGTCTGGGTTATTTCTGAAAACAGGGTCATGTTTCGGCCTTTAGGATTAGAACCACTATACCCTAGACTCGGTGTTTTGTGCACTACCCGGAGCTAAGCAAGAACAACATTGTCTTTGTGCTTTGTCGTTTGTATATATTTGTACAATAATCAGATCCAAACTTTAAGTGACGGTGTGTTCTCTGGTCTAACAAACCTCCAGTACACGGCTGTCCCATGCATGCGATGCGCGTTCATTAAATATGGCGGCCAAATTTTAATCTTTTTCATTTTTTACGCGATCTGGCCTAGTCGTATGTTTGCAATTTCGCTCGACTTCCATCTCAAACGGGCAAGGTCAACCGAAACCACGGGTGTTTGCCAGGTCATTCGATAGAGTTTAGAGCTTGGACTGGCCTTGCCTTCGACTGTGCCGCCGCTCGAGCGATCTTCTTGGGTTACCCACGCGCTACGCATGGTTTCTTTCTCGACGTGGGTGCAATTATTTTTGGATCGTCGCTCGATTTCAAGGGCTCGCCAACCTCGTCAGCGAATTTTCTCCGCCTCGCAGACAATTTTCTAGTATACCTCGATGTCCTAGCCTTTCGATTTCGTGTAGTCCTAAGCTTGACGTGCATAACTGTAGCTTTTCGTGGCCATGTTAGAGACGTAATTTTGTTCAGAAATGGAGGCTCATGTTAGCTTCCTGTCGTCGTGTTGTCGTATTGGAGGGGAGAAATTCGCGTCAAGGAGTGGACAGACGAAGTATCGTGTGGCAGATCATACTGAATCCATTTTGGCAGTGTTTCATCTCAATGTGGATGAAACCAAATACACCCTGAACATTTTTGCCACACTTGAAAATTGGCCATGGAATGCACTGTTACTGCCAGGGGCCCAACATTCTCTGGAGCTCTAGAGGTGGATGTACACCGCTCAAAGACTGGGAGCCACACAGTGGGACAAACTGTTTGAAATGCAAGCCCAAGCCTGGCAGGAAGTCCAAATGCAGAACACAAACGCAAGACAAACTTGCGGCATGGGAGAAAACGCGGGCCATCGTCCGCAAGCACGAGCACATGCACGCCGCCACCACTGACAGCAGCATCACCAACAAAACCTCGCCCCACCACACCAGTACCTGATCACTGGATAGTTTAGTCTGTTCGGTTTACGAATTCAAAAAAGGCAGACAAAATAACAAAACTAAAAACACGAGCGTCGCATGGACCGAATCTGATGAGCAGCAGCGCGTCACACCCGCATACCAAGTTTAGTAATAGTAGTAGTATAGTATTTATTCATATTTCTCTAGGGCTTAGTGGGTAAATCTCTGCATCCAGAACAGTTCAGTTCAGATAGGAATGCAACAACACACGCACAATGTCCACTATGTCACAGTGAGGTAGGGAGAGAAGTGTTTGCAGCTTGCTGGTAGACGTTCAGCCGTGCATGCATTGGCAAATGGCTAGAGCAGACGGCCCGCTGCCCTTAATGTAAGGCACACACGCAAGCGTCAGAGCTACAGCAGCCAAACAGCATAGTTCATGGATTCATGAAAGACTGCACCATACACTGCGCCAGCTCTGGTAGGGTGCCCTTTTGAGCATCGTCACTGGTCGGTGACGTTTTGCACGCCTCACCATCAAAGATGCGAGGTGATGCTGCTGATCGACTTGCTGGCATGATAGTCACAAGCATAACTAACGAAGGATGGCTGGAAGTCAAAACCAGCTGTAGATGTAGATTCCAGGTATACCAGACAATTACTGACGCCAGCACTTTATCCGATGCCCCATCAGCGTCAACTGTACGCCGATGGTCACAGGACCGTGACAGCCTTTCGATCGGTCTACGGTCGGGAGACGGGGCTGCAAGCCCAAAGCAGCGGGTATATAGTGTTCGTCACCAGCTGAGCAAGAGAGCTTGCTGAGAGATTTAGGTGTGCACTGTTCAGCAACCAGTCCCAATATAGGTTTGTCCATGAAGGCTGGTGATCCTCAGCTATCATACAACAAATTCCTACTCACTGCGCATATGCGCATATGGCTTGTGAAACAGCAGCAGAAACTGCACTGCCTTGACAAACGCACCAGTTACCATGATGGAGCAGATATGCCCAGCCCTGGAAGCCAACACCAAATCTCCAATCGCTAGTACAAGTAGCTCTTCACTAAATCATGCCTAGTGCATGCTTGCAGTGATATTTTCAGCAAGAGCGCTGCAGTTACTGCTGAGGAGATATATTGCGTCCTTGATGTCGAAGGCGCTCATCAAAGATGTCTTGCCATCAATTCTTGGCCTTATGCAGGCACGAGGTGGTCTCCCGTGGCATTGGCCATATTACCCCGAGCTGCACTTGCTCGAGGAGCACGTTGTTTCGCTCATGGAAGTCCTTCGTGTTGGACTGAGTAGGGTTGCTGAGAGAACAGAGCGCTGAATCCATCCACGTCCACAACTACGAATAATTTACAAAAACATTCCGACTGCAGATCAGCGCTTGAAAACGGCGATGCAAATCAGCGACGTTGGGCTTCTCCATTCAAAAGTAGAGCCTTCCTAACGAAGCAATTCTCATGTGACACTACATAGTCTCTCAAGCACTCTAGTTCAGGTCTTCTTCTCTCCACTCCATTATCATTTCGATCTTCACTCGGTCGAAGTGATGGTAGTAGCTATGTAAAATAATGGATTCCTCCCGATCCTCGTCGCGGCTAAAATTTGTTCGGTGTTTGCCCCTTCTGTTCATGCGTTGCCCTGCTCTAGTAATGGTTCATGAATCCGCCCAGTCCACATTCCTTCTCCCTTTCTCTCCGTTTTTCTTTCTTTTCAGTTGCATCTTCCTCTCTGCTCTGTTTTATTTTCTCTTTTCGTTCGACCCTCTTGATATTTGTACTTTGTACTGTTGAGGCAACGAACTGAAATAATAAAACCCAAACCAAACCAACTGCTATATCCTAGACTGGGCGTTTTGTGCACTACCCGGAACTAAGCAACAACAACATTGTCCTTGTGGCTTGTCGTTTGTAGAGATTTGTACAATAATCAGATCCAAACTTTAAGTGACGGTGTGTTCTCCGGTCTAACAAACCTCCAATCACTGTAAGTATTATCAATTACGCCATTCAACGCTGAATACGTGATGAACAAACCTCGCATATCTCTGAGCAGTATTATCTGCTGCACTGATTGAAGGGAACAGTTGTAGACGCTGTGTGTGAAATGCTTTGTTGTACTTTTTCTTAACTGTATATGTTGGAAAAGAATTCAGGTGGACACACCCATTCCCATACCGCTGCACATCACATCCGAACCAGTTCCGTTATTTTTCCAACATTTCGGCACTTGGCCATCGTCAGGTAATAACAATGAATACCGTGGAAGCCACACAAGAGCAGTATATATAGGCAGAGTGTAGCGCCAAAAAAGATGTGAATTATGTCACCTAGTATGCAGACACGGGGGGACAGAGAGAGAGAGAAAAGGCGCAACTAGCACATCACAGAGGAGAAGGCAGCGCGCATTGTGCTCTGTGAACGGCGTTACACAGAGTGTAGCGCCAAAAAAAAATGATGCGAGTTATGTCACCTCTATACAGAGGGGGAGAGAAGGTGCAACTGTGCACATCACGGAGGAGAAGAGCGCGCCGTTGTGCTCTACGAAGTGAGGGTATATGCCAAATAATTATGGTGTTAATTCTAGCACATTACAGGAGGGGAGCACGGAGGCCCATGCGCCAATGCACTATGAGGTTAAACTTCCATGCCAAACTGTTACCACCAGAGACGCGACGAGGCATCAGGAACAAAATGGATTTGATCAGTGCCGGCAATGCAAATGTAAACGTGATGGTCGGGCTTGTTTGGATTGCAAACCTGGCGTGAGTGAGTAATGTCGGAATCCTCACAACATCTCGTTAATCTTGCCAGACGGCAATGTGGGTCCTCTGTTTCCAGTGAACCACGTGGTATTGTCCAATGCCGGCGGTGGTGGTAACTCGAACAATACCCATAATGCTGTTTTTCGGATGGCGGCTGCTCATGAGAGTGCACATGTGGGTGATGACCTTTCAACAGTGCCAGTGGCTGTTGTTTCTCGTTGCAGTTCCGTGGCTGGACCTTTGCGTGCCAGCGTCCCTGTCGCATTGGTTCCTGAGAGTAACGACCTTGATGCTGTCCATGGCGTTTGTGCTGCTTCGTCATGTGCATCAATTGCGCATGATGATGGTGCGGTTCATTGTGCTCAGCCATTGGCGGAGTCTTTTCCAGAGAAACATGTTCAGGATCGACCCTTGTCGACCACAGTAGTACCTGGTGTGGATGACTGCGGCCATGTGACAGCCCCTCGTGAAACGTTTTGTCTGTGGAATTTGACGGCATCTGAGACTATGACGGCTCTTTCCACAGCATATGACAAGTGTGTGCATCTTGCTCCGAATGCATTTCAAGTGCCTCGCGGAAATGTTGGCCGGAGATTTATAACAACTCTATCTACTATTTTCAACTGTTTTGGTGATGCAGGATCATACGCTGACAGCGCGTTGATGGTGGCAGCAGTATTTCAGATGCTGATGCTGCAGGGTCCGTGCAGTGATCCTCCTGCTAATGCCAAGCTCCTGGACAGGCATTTGGACCAGTGGTTTCATGGTCAGATTAATGCATTATTGTTGGAAACAGAGACTATCCACAATCTCCGAGAGAAGTCCATTACAAGGGGTCGAGGTTGTCCTGATGATCTTGCACGAGAGTTTGCGGATTGTGTCGCAGCTGGGAGGCTATCGGCTGCTCTGCGCTGCCTTAGTGCTGATCGTGGTGGTGGAGTGCACAGCATCAGTGAAGAAATTGACGGTGTTCCAGTAATCGATATATTGAAGCAGAAGCATTATGAGGCTAAGCCCGTGTGCGACGAGGCTCTGATAGGGGGATAGCCGCCTCCTCCTCCGCATCTCATCTATTTTGCTTGGCTGGTACGCCGTGCTATCCGACGGGCAGCGCTAGGCACGCAGGGCGCAGCGGGACCCAGCGGTGTGGATGCTGAGGCCTGGCGTCATATGTGCTCCAGTTTCACGGACGCTTCGGATGGGTTGTGTGATGCGCTTGTTTCTTGTGCCATTAGAGTGGCCACTGAGCATATTGATGCTGGTGCATTTATGGCGTTCACTGCATGTCGCTTGCTGCCCTTGGACAATTGGCCCGATGTCAGGCCAATTGGCATCGGCGAGGTTGTCCGTCGCATTGTGGGGAACGCAATTGTGTCCATTGTGGGCCCTGCGGTTCAGCAGGTTGTTGGCTGCTCCCAGCTGTGCGCCGGTCAGGACTGCGAGGTGGAGGCAGGCATACATGCTATGCAGGAGGCGTTTGCTCGAGAAGAGACCGATGGAATTCTGATGGCAGACGCGAGAAATGCTTTCAATCGCCTGAATCGCAGCGTCTGCCTTCGGAATGTTCAACATCTTTGCCCGCCTCTGGCCACTGTTTTAATTTACACCTACAGGACGCCTGCATGCCTATAAAAAAATGTCGACAGTGATTGCATCTTGTAGGAGGACGGAACAACCCAGGGAGACCCTCTGGCAATGTGCATGTATGCCATTGGCATGATGCCTCTCGTGCACAAAGTTGAACAAGCCGGGACTATCCAGTCTTGGTTTGCAGATGATTCCGCAGCGGCGAGTGTGTTGCGTAGGCTCCGTTGTTGGTGGGACATCTTGGCAAGTGATGGCCCAGCTTATGGATATTTCCCAAATACATCAAAATCGATTCTGGTGGTGAAGGAGCGTTGCTATTGTGAGGCAGTTGAGCTGTCCAGCGACACCAGTGTCGTCATTACGTGTAATGGAGCTCGGTACCTGGGGGCAGCCATCGGCTCAGCTGACTTCAAGGAGAATTTTGTATCGACTAAGGTCCAGGAGTGGGCTGATGAGCTAACTCGATTGGCTGATTTCGCTCGCTCGCAGGCCCAGGCAGCATATTATGCATATGTCTCGGGCTTGAGAAGTCGCTGGGCTTTCCTATGCCGCGTTCAGTCTATTTCTCCGTCCCAGTTCCAGCCACTGGAGGACGTGATAAGCACGAAGCTTATACCAGCAATGACGGGTCGGCCACCGCCTGGCACAGTGTTGAGGGAAGTGCTCACAATGCCCTGGCGTTTAGGTGGCCTGGGCCTGGGCAGCCCGATGACTTTGTGGTCCCAGTATGAGTCGTCTGTCGCCATCACAGCATCTCTCTCCCGGCGTATCTTGGATCGTGTTTCTGATATTGGGAATTCTTTGATTGGCATCCAGCGGGAGAAGGCGAAGAGGAAGAAGGAAGTACGTCATAGCCAGGCGGAGTCGGCACAGCGTATCAGCAATGATGCGTCGGACGCCTTGCGACACACCATTGTCCTCGCCCGTGAACCTGACACCTCGAGTTGGCATTGAAAAAGTATGGCTTTTCACTGAGCAAAGCTGAGTTCATGGACGGCTTGTGCCTCCGTTATGGTTGGATGCCGCCGAGGTTACCAACTCATTGCTCTTGTGGACGGGACAATGGTATTGACCATGCCTTGTCATGTCCCCTTGGTGGTTTTACCATTATCCGCCATAATGAGATCCGGGATGTGACAGCCTCTCTCCTTCAAGAGACCTGTCACAATATCTCCATCGAGCCACTGCTGCAGCCACTCACTGAAGAGAGAATGAGATACAGGTCTGCTATTGTGGAGGAGCATGCGCGGCTTGATGTAGTGGTCAGTGGTTTATGGGGCTGACGTTTTGAGCGTACTTTACTTGATATACGGATTTTTAATCCTCATGCACGCTCAAATCGATCTGCACCACACACCACTGTCTATCGGCGCCATGAAAAAGAAAAAGCGACGATGCTATGAAGAGAGAGTGAGAGAGGTGGAGCATGCGACGTTCATGCCTGTTGTGCTGTCGGCAAGTGGTGGCATGGGAAGAGCGGCGACATCACTCTATCGCCGAATCGCGTTATTGAGAGCGGAAAGGAGGAAGGAGCAGTACTCCCACGTAATATCTTACATCAGATGCCGTCTCTCATTTGCCCTGTTGCGATCATGCATCATGTGTTTGCAGGGTTCACGGGGTCTTTTCCATGAGCGATCGTTTCGGCATCCGGAGTCTGCTGAGCTGGTTGTTGCCGAGGCCAAGGTTGCTCGCATGTGAGAATCTATAAATTGCAGCAAATTATTTTAATATGAATACTGGACGTGGATATTGAATTAAACTGTACTCAGTGAATCTTTACATTTTACAGGCTACGTTTTATTATTATTATTTTAAAGCTTTCCTTTTGATCTTGTCTCTTATTGTTGTGATCTTTCCACAAAATTGTGTTGCATTGTTTAAAAAATAATTACCCAGAGTCACCCAGTTCAAGAGTACTCAGAGTCACCCAGTTACCCAGAGTGTAACAGGTTTAATCAAACTTGAAAAGTAAGAGGCCTGGTTGAGCGTGCCTCGACCAGTTATATGCAAAATGTGATAGTATACATGTGGCAATGGCGCCAATGAAGGTGCTAATAGACAGGCGTAAGACGCATGAGGTGCGAGGGAGTGTAAAGTTATAGAGAACAGGGGAAAACTGTTACATCATCCCCCTCCTATGGAGAGGAAGGAGCTTATAACCCAAATGCTCAAGTGGAATAGAGTACAATAAGCGCAAACACGTGCGAGACGAAAAAAGGCTTCGCACTGAAGTAACACAATAAGACGACTGAAACTCCATGCAAATAAAGTGTAATAAGCTCAACAAATGTGTAAGGTGAAACTAGAAGTTCAACTGCAAAACTCAGCGGGCAGAAGCCAAGGTTTTGTACTTCTGAAGTGGAACAATGTCATTACCAGATTCATCCAACAAATAATGTTCAGGTTCCCAAGTGGCATCAGAGTAGCCTTGCCACTTGACTAGGTACTGAAGCTGATTCTGCCGGCGGCGGTGACTGAGAATGTTCTCCACCACATAGCGGGCATGACCATCAAGGTCCGTGATAGGCGGAGGCGTAGGCTGTCTCCTATTAGGAATAGCGTTCTTCTCGTAGGCGCGGAGTGCCGACACATTAAATACCGGGTGACAGCGGCTGGTATGAGGCAACTTGAG